AAAAAAAAAACAGAATTTGTTGAGAACAGGAACCAATTTATTTTAACACTGTAAAGCTGACAGCGAACCCGAACAAAATTCAGTCGAAGTACAGTAAACGATTTACAATGTGAAAGATTTATGTGAAATGTAAAGTGCGCGAATAAAATTTATTGTTTGGCTGTGTCAAGAATGTCTGGTGTGTGTCACAGATTTGGGCGAAAATAATGGTAATTAACGTCGCGGAAATTAACGCGCAACTTAATTAACAGCGCGGAAATTAACATTACCATAAATTAACGCGACTTAAATTAATGCGAATTTTTTAAATTCGCGTTAATTTCATGAAGCGTTAATTTCCTACAATGAGGTAATTTTTAAATTATTCTTTTTAAATTATTATTATTATTATTATTATTATTATTATTATTATTACCACGAGATGGCACATATTACATTACAACATCATACAAATCTTACTGACACTAACTATTTTAATACACGTTTAAGCATTTTCAACACAAAAGTTAGCGAAAATAATAAACGAAGTTTCGACAACGTCGGGATGTCATTGTCAAGTAACTATGTAGGTTAGTTTTTGCGTTATAAATAGATACACATGTTTACTTCACAATGACAAACCGACGATATCAAAACGTCGTTTATTACTTTCGTCAATGCTTCTGTTGAGAATATTTTCTAAACCTTAGGTTTGAACGTGTTAATTAAGAGTGATTATTTGGAATCCATAATTGTTTTATATATAAAACTTCGCCTAACTAAAATACTTATAGGCATAGAATTTTTATGAGGCGGGGAAACCACTACAGCCTAGCCATTTGTTTGTGAGTCCACAACATTTTAACCACTGTGATTATACACGTCGTTGTCGATAAGAGTACAGACCACGCGAAACCACTTTCGATTTGTTAAATTCGAATTGCTAGAAACAGCACGACGGCGAGCTCGCTATGTTGCACCTGGGACAGATTGTTCTCCAGGGTCTTATAATGTCAACGTCGTACAGAACTGGAGCCCTATTGTAATATTGAAGTAGTAAACGAGGTGTTTTTTTTTTTGCGTATAGAAATTTAGATTTCCCAGATTAGGCGTAGATGTGAAAGAACGGATTAATGATTTGGACTGCAGATATAATAATTGTCGCACTTACCAATATCCAAATAAATACCCCGGATATAACCGTTAGAATGAGTGTCAAACCTATGATCTGACCGCCATTAATAAATGACAGCCCAAGCTGGGTCAGCGGCTTCATCTGGTTTCTTTTAGCAACATAGGCTGGTCCTTTGGAGAGATGTACTTTGATCTCACACGGATCGTTCGCATTCTTTTTGATCATGACTGGCATGGAAATAGTTACATTTCCAGTGCTGTTGGATATTAGAATTGAAGATTTTGTGAATTTTCTCCGTGCCGGTTTGTAGGTAATCCTGTCTGGTTTGATCATTCTACGAAGTAGTTCGTACAGAAGACCTGTGATAAAATTTGAAATACAAAAGTTAGGTTAGGGAGTCTCAGAAAGATTAAAACTGATTTAGAGAAATTTGATATGACTTGTCCTAAAAACAAAAGGTCCTAACCCCCGGGTGCTAGCTTGTCCTAAAATACAGTTTTCCGGTTCTCTTAATTGATTCAACAATAAGTGTATTACAATCCGTTTGTAAAATGCATTTCCCCTCTCTCATACTCATGCCAAATGCTATTTAAAAATTTAACAATTCAATTCAACAATTCGATAACAGTCAAATTATTAGTGTCATGCATGGGAAGAGGTTACTCTCGGTATTCGAGCCAGAGACTTATGTATAGAACGTATGACAAAGATAAAGATAAAATAAGATATAATCCTTATAATCAGTTAGATCTTTATAATCGAAAATTTATTAACAATTAGATTATGCACCTGTATTAAGGGCCTGCATTTTCTACAAACGGATAGTCAGCCGGAGGCGCGGCCGAGGTTTTAATCATTCATAGCAGGAAAACGACGGAGAAAAGTTTGATTCTCAAAGCTCACTGTCTAAAGAAGCTTAAAGAAATGCCAGCCAAAACAGCCAATTTTACGTATTTTTTGGCAAAATGTTATAACAACAAAGTTTTTTCTTTTAAAAGCGGTGTCTGTGCCCGATCGTTTTTCATCAATGAATAGAGAACGATGGGAGAACCAGTCAAATTGGCGCATTTCCAATAGCACATGCTGAGTGCCTACTAAATGATAATACACATGAGATTATGTTAGTTCAGTTGGACGACATGTCAAAGAGAGAGGGCCTTGGGAACGAGGTTACCTGGACTCGTTACCAGTCTCTCGATCAAGGCATTGCAGAGCTAAGATCCTTAAAGACGTGATTTGTATTTAGTTTAGTGACACATTTTACAATTAATGCCAACGATACAAAACGACGTTCCCGTGTTATCTTGACATCATTATCAAATTAGAAATAAAAATAACGGTAAGTTTTGTTTGTATATATACAAACGAGGTGCAAATGGTCTCATTCTTGGTAATGACAACACATAGATTGGAAATGTCAAACAAAGACTTTCGCACGATTAGAGTGTGATTGAGTGTTCATTTCCGGTTTTGTTTTACGAGTAAACAGCATCTCAAAGGTAGGACAAGCTAGCTTTTCTTTGCGTCTCTTTAGTATTAATTAAGCATTTGCTAGCAAGGTCAACAATATCATCGTTATGATTTTCTTGTAAATGTTTGCCTACGGAAGACGACTTTTGCTCTTGATGTTTTGATACATATGTTTTTCTATCTTGAGAAAAATCCCAGAAAACTAATTGAAATTAGTTTCCCTGGGGCAGTTCATATAATATTATCATGGTATTCCAGGCCGCGCATTTTTTGTTCGAGCAGTAACACATTTTGCAATGAATGTGAACGATAAAAAACGACTTTCCCATGTCATCTTGACATTATCAGCATCAAGTTAGAAATAAAAATAACGGTACGTTTTGTATGCATATGTACAGGCGAGGTGTAAATAATCTCATTCGAGGGTTAAATAATGACACTAGCGGGGTAGAAATTGGTCATTAAAGGTGCCAGTGATGACAAAACACCGAGAAATGTCAAACAAAGACTTTCGCACGAATAGAGTCTGATTGGATGACAGTTCCGGTTTGTTTTACAAATAAACAGTATAGATCAAACAATTTAGCTTTCCTCCGATGTTGCTGAAATTTGCGAAATTTTAAGAATATATTAGAATAAACCCGAGGCTGAGATTTTGAAAAGAATAATAATGTGTTAAACATTTGTGAATACAATACAATTATACCTTTTTAACTAAATCGTATAAAAATTCTTCCTTTCTCTAAACGGCAAAACTAGCCACAAAGCATTAAAAACAGCACTAGCCGTTTATTCGATGCCAATCTCGGCCATTTGTGCAAGAAGTTATATGCGTCATATCAGGTTTTGATGCTCCAAAATTACTTGAACACCATCCAGACACCAAATACATTCGAAAACAAATATGCCATTCGCTATATAATGTAAGAATATCCACAAGAATATTTTCAGCCTTAAATTGGCAGAAAAATAAGAATGTTTTGGAAACTAATTGAAATCGGTTTTCTTGGAGCAAGTCACATAATTAATGTTATCATAGTCTTCTAAGCGCATTTTTTGTTCGAGCGGAAGTCCTCAGTCATGATTTTAGGACTGTCTTTTGTTATTTGTTTTGTTTTAGCAATTTTTTTTTTTTTTTTTTTTTACCAAATATACAGCCCAATTGTTTTTAATAGACATTTTGCTTTAATTTTGCATATTCAATTTTGTCCGAGTCACTTATCAGGAAAGACGAGGAAATTGTAAAGCCAAATTTACATCTTGTGTAACTTGTTTACCCTGTGTTTTACAATGCAGTATGCCAACATACATTGTGACCAACAGTGTTAGTTTTGGCTACGGGCCATCACCTGTCGAACGAGCTGCTAAAGCTATGGAAATGATCTTGTATATTTTCAGCATTTATCTTACCTTCATCGGTTTCCGTGGATAAATTTATTTTAAAGGCGGCTTAAAGTAAAAAGTTTTAGTCTGCCAAATAAAAGTCTGTTATTTCGCAATGAAAAACGAAGATCGCTATAAAACTAATAGTCGCATTTTGAGAGAATGAATTAATTCAGTGTTGCAGCCAAAACTTTTACAAACAAATTGCTATAAAGTGACAATTTTAATAGCGTTTCTTGAATTAATTCACATTTTAGGGACATTTTAAGAACGTCGAGTTATTAAGGATAGCAGTAAATTTTCTCATTGCAAACCTTATGTTTACAAACACATATTATGCTTCTTCATGTATAGGTCTCTGAACAATTTTGGCTTGCAAACAATTCTTAACCAACCACTACTGGGAAGTAATATTGTTTTGCAAACTATCTAGGAGATATTTGAATAATAGTCTTTGTTTTTTTGAAATGTTTGCTTTAGTGCTTTGCTTCTATGCAAGCAGGTATCAAATAGGTTTTGAACAGACTCACAGGACCCCTAAAATTTGTAATTACTTCAACTGCGAAAATTAAAACTACAAATCTATCGCTGTTACCAAATAAATTCTACTTATGTTCAAGTCAAAATTAGTGGAACGCAATATATTGTGACAAACAGAATAAGGGATGAATAAATGCGAAAATTACTCGCTTTACTTGCCTGATGACTGAATCGCCTAGGATTCCTGAAATTATTTCCATCGCCAGTAGGATGCGAAAAACGCTGCCGACTATAGTGGAATATTTACACGTATGGCAAATATATTCTGTAAACTTGAACGTTTTGGTTCAATCCGTTTAAAGTTACTCGCTGAGGAAAAAACTTGACACTACAAGAACTAGACTAATGATTAAAATACAAACATATACCAAACCTCCTGTTGGCGGCGGGGGCTTGTTCGGATGTTCGGATGAAGAAGATGTAGAATTGTTTAGGTAAGGCCCTAGTCCCCACCATTCCACCACGAAACTTAACTGGGAGGAAGAAAGCTGGTCGCATCTCGGCGAGTTAAACTGCAAAGTTGCAGTGATTGCCGTTCCCAGAAGAAGCAAAACCAGCTCTCCTATCACGTTGAGCATTGTCGACAGAGGGATAACAAGCTAGACGGTTGTGGCCTCAAATAAAGCTCAAGCGCGCGCCGGAAAAAGTATCCAAATTAAATCATCGCTCTGTACCAGTGACTATCACTTCAGTTCGTAAGTCCANATGCAAGCAGGTATCAAATAGGTTTTGAACAGACTCACAGGACCCCTAAAATTTGTAATTACTTCAACTGCGAAAATTAAAACTACAAATCTATCGCTGTTACCAAATAAATTCTACTTACGTTCAAGTCAAAATTAGTGGAACCCAATGCATTATGACAAACAGAATAAGGGATGAATAAATGCGAAAATTAATCGCTTTACTTGCCCGATGACTGAACCGCCTAGGATTCCTGAAATTATCTCCATCGCCAGTAGGATGCGAAAAACGCTGCCGGCTATAGTGGAATGTTTACGCGTATGGCAAATATATTCTGTAAACTTGAACGTTTTGGTTCAGTCCGTTTAAAGGTACTCGCTGAGGAAAGAACTTGACACTACAAGAACTAGGCTAATGATTAAAATACAAACATATACCAAACCTCCTGTTGGCGGCGGGGGCTTGTCCAGATGTTCGGATGAAGAAGATGTAGAATCGTTCAGGTAAGGTTCTAGTCCCCACCATTCCACCACAAAACTTAACTGGGAGGAAGAAAGCTGGTCGCATCTCGGCGAGTTAAACCGCAAAGTTGCAGTGATTGTCGTTCCCAGAAGAAGCAAAACCAGCTCTCCTATCACGTTGGGCATTGTCAACAGAGGGATAACAAGCTAGACGGTTGTGGCCTCAAATAAAGCTCAAGCGTGCGCCGGAAAAAGTATCCAAATTAAATCATCGCTCTGTACCAGTGACTATCACTTCAGTTCGTAAGTCCATTCCGCACTCAACGACTTATTTTCTCGTTCCGTGGAAAACGTGTAGGCGCTAAGCGTTTCTTGTTGCCATAGGCAAAGAAGGTGAATTGAAACATTAATAACTAACTTCCTGCCCGGCAAAGTGCCTATAGCCGGGTTAAATTATTAATGTGGGACAGATAAAGCTGGTCTCGTTCAAAAGAAACAGGTGTTGACGACCTGACTTTTGAGAAGTATCCTCTTTGTCTCACACCTGAGCTAGGCCCGTAACGATGGGATATCAACAATTACTTCAGCGACGCCTGTTTTGTAAAATTGAGGTGTGACACCATTTGCTAATGAAAATGAAGGGAAGTTTCTGGTCAACGCGAAAGGTCATAAATATGTAATGCTTTAGCAGGTCGGCCGTTTGGTAAAACAAACGAATTGAATGCAACTCTTTGTATGTCTCAGATTTTATTTTGGCGTCGCTCAGCTTTAATGTTCGTTTACATTAATTCTCAGATTTCTTCAGTTTGGTCGTTTCTCAAGTATTCGAGATCACACCCACTAGCGATGAAGACCAAAGCA